GATTGATCTTTCCGCAGCACCTGGCACTGTCAATGCTGTCTCTCTTGGTTCTCCTACCTGTTTCTGCTGAATCACCCATATCATGTTCACTGTGTATGGAACTAGGGTTGTACCCAGGCCCTCTTCTATTTTCTCTCATAGGAGGATCTTATCAGCTCCCTTGAATTTAATTATTTCTATGCAGATGACACCCAAATATATATATACCTAACCCTAGTCTCTCCTTTGCTAGTTACAGTTAATTCAGTATGTCCAAAACTGGATTATCTTCCCCTCAAACCTCTTTTCTGAAGGTCCCCATTTCTGTCATGGGAACTGGTATCCTTTCAGTCACTTAGGTTTTGCAAATTCAGTGTTATCCTGGCCTCTTTATTCTTCTCTCCACATATTTCAATCAGTTGCCAAATCTCCATATGATCAATACCTCCAAATCTTTCACAACTATCTTCTCTCTACTGACAAGATCATTAAGCCTAGTTCAGGTTTTCATCTCCTTTTGCCTTGACTTCTAGTTCTCTCTTCTACATTGTGGGGGTTAGGGGAACAGCACCCAGCGATCTGAAAAATCCACATAAAACTTTTTGGCCCTCCCTTTGTACTCCAGAAAAAGTCTGATTTTTTTTTCTTTTATGGTATTTGCAGTACCTTATTATAAAGTTTAAGTATTCGGTTATAGGCTGTGTCGTCTTTGCGTGTCTATGGCTTTCACAAAATTCCCACTCTTATGCAAACTCACAATATATGGAAACCACAATGGGGAAACTCGAGATGCGGAAAGGATAACTTCATAAGAGCCTGACGACTATTTAGGTTTCAAGTCTCTCCCTTAATACAACTGCCCAAGTGATGTTCCTAAAGTACAAGCCTGACCAAGTTACTCTCATATTCAATAAACTCCAATGGTTCTCTCTTACCTGTAGGGTCAAATATTTTTGTTTTGGATGAAGTTAATTTCTGGACGATTCTATTTTAAATTCAAACAATGGGTTGCTTTTCATTCATTGTGACACAGCTCCACCTAGTGACCTACTAAATGTTTAGCCTTCTCTCCCTGTCAAATAGAGGATAGTGAACTCCCAGATCAGTGTCTCCAAAGTGGGATGCCAAGGGTGATCCACTGGGATAGAATCTTAGAACTTTAAAGGGGCAACCTAGTTTAGGTAAAACAAGTGTCACTCCCAGTGCATAGTGGATTGTGAATTCATTTGTTAAAAATATAAAAATGCAACCTTTTATTTTGCAAGAACTTGTTGACATTAAGATGGAAATTTACTAGCTCAATTTCAAGAAAAATTTTTGCATAATTAGTGAAAAATGAGTGCTGTGATTTAGCCAATGCAGCCAATGGTGTATTTCTTCCTTTCAGATCTATGTGTCTTCAGTTACTGACAGTCATTAAAAACAAGTATCAAAATAAATTTACAAATGGACCTTTGAATTGCTATTACAAGTGTTAGATTTTTTAAAATGAAGCATATCCAATCACTTTGCTCTTTATAAAAATGCTAATACTTTAACAAGACCAAAAGGGTCTACTTTAGCCAAATTAGCCAAAAGACTACTTTAAAATCTGCATCCTTTAAAATTTCTATTTTGTTTTACAATACTGTACATAAGTGCAATAGTATATATAAGAAATTTACAAATATTAGAAGTGCACATTAAATATTTTAACTGGAATGCATGATCAAAAAAAGCACATCAAAGGCCCAAATCTAGGAAATACAAAGCACAAACTACGGTCACATGTCCGTTTAGATGTTATTTTGTTAACTTTTCTTATGTAACACACATATCAAAGTAACAGTTTAATTTTTCAGCCTCCATGATGGATACTGAGAATCTTACTTATTGTAACTGCAACATTTATTTATAAGAGATTTTTTTGGAAAAGGATCCTATATACCAAAATATTCACAGTAGCACTTTTTGTGGTAGCAAAAAATCCAGAAACAAAGTGGAAACCTGTTGATTAGAAAATGGCTGAACAAACTGTGGCATGTGAATAATCAAATATTATGTCAAAAGAAATTTGGGGAATTCAGAGAAATATGCAAAGTTCTTTGAAATGATAGAGAGAACCAGGAAAATAACATACTCAATGACTAAAATAATGTAAATGAAAATAACACTACAATGAACTTGAATATTGCATAATTCTAAGAACAATTTGGCACTAGAGATAAGGAAATGCATTGCCCTCCTTTCCTTGGAAAGGGAGGGGTAGGCAAGATGTGAGGGGGAACTATGGTCTTTTTCTTTTCTAGGCAATTAAGGTTAAGTGACTTGCCCAGGGTCACACAGCTAGCAAGTGTCAAGTGTTCGGTCTGAGGCCGCATTTGAACTCAGGTCCTCCTGACTTCAGGGCTGGTGCTCTATCCACTGCGCCAACTAGTTGCCCCCTAAGAGGAACTATGGTCAAACAGGGTACTTGTTTTCGGTTGTTTTAACTTTTTCCTACAAGAGATGGTTCCTCTGGTTATGTGAGGGCATATTATCAGAAACTTAAGACAGATGGAAAAAACAAAAGGCAACAATAGAACATTTTTTTGAACAGTTCGACTACACATGTTCAGAAAAAATCACATCAAGAGCACATATTGCCCAGATTAAGAAAACTGGCTGGAAACCCAGAGTTAGTCAACGTTGAGAAATGTTGCAAACAGAAAATAAACTAGGTCCAGAACTGAGGAGGGTTCAAGCTGGATCCCAGTTGAAAATGACTTTTCAACTATTAAACGGTATCTAGGAATAGTGACGATGACCTCATAATTAAAAATTAACAATCACAGCTAATCCAAAAGGCAATGGAGATACATTTGTGTAAGTAAGCTGCAGCATATTATCAATGACTTAAACAAAAATCAACAGATGTTATGCAGCTATGTGCTAGACACTGGAGACAGACAAAAAAATTAAGCTGTTTCTACTTTTAAAGAGCTTACTGGAAAAGATATGGGCTTGTCATGTAGTGAGGGTAACAAATAACAAGGGAGGAGAGAGATTGAATATTGATCCAAATTATGGCTTGAAGACAAATGTAGAGTGGGATGCAACATTCATCCCATCCTCAAACCAATAACACCCACCTTGGGGTCATTCCACAGTCCCTACACTGACACAGGAGGCAGAACCTGTGGGTGTTACTGACTCACACACATAGGAATGCAACAATAGATATCTTGAGACACTTTTAACTCTTCCTATCAGATCATTCAAATACCGCTAAATCTTTTTTTTGGGAGGCAACTGGGGTTAAGTGACTTGTCCAGGGTCACAGAGCTAATAAATGTCAAGTGTCTGGTCTAAGACTGGGTTTGAACTCAGGTACTCCTGATTCCAGGGCCAGTGCTCTATCCTTTGCGCCACCTAGCTGCCCCAAAGATATGAACCACTTTTTTTTGGGGGGGGGGGTGAGGCAATCAGGATTAAGTGACTTGCCTAGCTCTAGGGTCACACAACGAGTAAGTATCAAGTGTCTGAGGGCACATTTGAACTCAGGTCCTCCTGACTCCACGGCCAGAACTCTACCCACTGTACCACCTAACTGCCCCTGAGGCTGCTAAATCTTAAAGGAAATTGAGATCACAACTTAAAATTTAAATAACTTTTCCAAATTTCTGTGACTGCTCAATCATCCATCATCATTATGTTTGTGGGTGTTCCCCAAAATTATTTCCTGAGCCCTCTTCTCTACTTTTGTGGCAACCTGAGATTAAACCCTGGTCTTTCCTGTAAACCGGTCTCATATCACCAACAGGGACATTGGACAATTAAAGCTGGAGGTAGCAGAGACATCTAAGTCAACACAGCCAAACCAACTTATCTTCCTGTTACCCCCAATTCACTCTTCTAAACTTTACCTATCAAAAACACCAGAATTCTTCTGGTTTCTGCAATCATAACCACAGTGTTATCTGTGGACTCTCCATCTTCCCCAAGGCAGCTTGCCCCTTTCCCCTTTTAAGTACATATTTGACTGTGACTCAGTTAATAAACCTTTATTAAGTACCTACTATATGCTAGGAACAGTGCTAAGTCCTGGGAATACAAAGAAGGGCAAAAGATAGTCCCGCTGTCAAGGAGTCCAGTCTAATGGGGAGACAACCTGCAAAGAATCACAGGGCTTCCTGCAAGTGGGATTGTGGCTGAGATGAGGGAAGATGCATTCTGAGTTCTAAGTGCCTTGTTTAAGCAACAGCAAGGATAGTGATTAGATGTAGAGCAGTCAGGCAAGGGGGAGAAGGGGGGGGGATGGTGAGGGCCTGCATCAGCATTATTGAGAAGGGTATGGTATATTCTTGTTACAAAAGTGAAATCCACAGCTTCTGGCAACTGACTGGATATGGGGGACCAGTAAGATGTGAGGAACTGAGGATAACACCCAAGCTGTGAGCCTGGGGAACTGGGAAGAAGGTGGTGAGGGTAATAGTGGTGAAGATAATGTAAGGTATTTGGCTTTAAAAGCCCACCACAACTAGGCCTCATGCTATTTCTCCAGCTTCATATATTGCCCTCTTTTGCAAATTCTACAGTTCAGCCAAATTGGTTTCTATTTGTCAGAATTTGACTTCTTAAATGCTCACCCTAACAATCTTGTATTTGTTCTATACACATACATACATGCTGACTCCTCTTACCTCTCTCACTGCACTAAAACCAGTGTTTATTATTTGACAAGCATGAACCTGCTTTCAACAGCTTCCAGTCCAAGACACTCTTTCCCTCAGTCTGCCTGGACTGGTTTAACACAATACTATAAAGTCAATATATTAACATCAGCCTCTCAAAGTCAGTTCTGGTTCCCAGGATTCATCTTCAGAATCAGATCAAAAAAAATTACGTCCTACCCGATGATGGAACATCTGATCTAAAGATTACAGTAAGGCTGTCCAAAGAAAAGGGGTGGAAGATGACAAACCATCTCCATGAATGAATTCTTCAGAAGCAGTAACATAAGCATCACCTCTCCCCCCAAGAAAAGACGAGACACCCAAGAATTCTTTTTTTCCCCCTACATTTTAATACAGGTGGAACACTGAATGATTCCTTCACTTCAGCTCCTTCACAGCCAAACCTAAAGGGAAGGAGACAGAAAAGATGAGTCACCCAGAAGACAGACTTTCACAGTAATTACCACTGTCTGTCTAGAAACACTTTTAACATTTGTAGTGTAGCTAAGGGAAAAGTTGGCAAAGCCTAGAAAACATCATCAGTCCCCAAAGATGTTTAGTTTAAACAAGCATTAAGACTGACTGCACTGAAACAATGAAAATGGGCCCACACATCCAGACAGTGAGAGATTCCAATTAAGTCATACAAATCTAAAGCTACACTGTCTCAAACCTTCCCCCAACCCCCAAGAGGAGAGCAGAGAAGTCAGGGTTTCAAAAGTTTCAGTTTAGCTTAGCTATAGCCTCTTTCAAGAATCACTCTTCTCATTTGGCAAATACTAGAACATCTTTATTTTTGTTAAGTGTTTCATATTACCTGGGCAGATAATATAAAATCTAGATCCCCTAGATTGCTAAGTCCCAATACAACCAAGATGATCTAACAATAGTTCATAAGTAGTAGTTACAGTTAATAAATAACTTTACCCATAATCTTGTGTCAAGTATTATTACACCTCTTTTACAGATGAAGCAAACACCCATGCTTTTCCCTATTCAACTCCATTTTTTAAAAAATGGAGCAATATTCTTGGTTAGCTTACATAGTATAGCTGAAATGAGAGGCACAAGTTGAAAACCTCAATTTATTTGAGTTAACTAGAAAGAAACTAATAACAGGTGACTTCATGCCTTTGCCAAAGCAAGCATTTCAGGTAAAGGATGCAATCATATCTAAAGAAATACATCCATGACCCTAATCACTATGTATGATAATAGGCCAACTTACCAAGGCAACATCATGGATAGAGTGCTGGACCTAGATTCAAATCCCACCTCTGTAACCATGGGCAGACTCAGATGTTAAGTTAAAACAGGTCATGAGCCAGCCCTTGCACTAGGAAGCATTAGTGCTTTATGTGAAACATTCAAGTAGGCAAATGGCCACATTTATGCAGCTCTTTCAGGTTCATGAAGCACTTCCCTCCACAATCAAACAAGGTAGGCAAGCCTTAAACCCTGTTTGGTCTTCTGGCTCAAAGTTCAGCACTGTTCTACTGCAGGTAATACCTGGAGTGAGCCAAGTGACAAGGCTCACCAGATGTGTCTTGGAGTTGTTTCCAAGGCACAAAAGCTTACAAGCAAATCAAACTGACAGTCCTTTAACAGTAGGTATCTTGGAAGCACCCACTTTATAAATATAATTTACTGTCAAAACACAATCTAGCCTTCTCTCACATTCTCGGTTGGCCTTTTTAGAAAACAGGTTCCCATTTCAGCTTTTGTGACCAAGACTTTGAGGCCAACTCACCAGGAGGCAGGGACTGTTTAAGTTTCTCTGCCTTCTCTTTGTCTGTGATGACCAGTGTGTACAGGTACCTGCTGCAGCGAACCTTAAACTTCACATTGTCCTTGTTTTTCTTGATCTTGACAGCTACAAGAAAAAGGCCCCAAAATTACTAAGAGAAAGGACACATGACAATGCCAAAGCCGTGGAGGCAGCCATTTAGGGGACAGGAAGGAAGCTAGATCGTCCACATAAATGATCTTGAAACGAGACTGAACAGCAAGATTATACATCATTTTCCCAGACTTCACCAAAAGACAGCTATTTCCCTACATCAAGAGCAAGCTTTTGATAAAACTTTACACCAAGTTTTAAGACAAAACCTCAAATTAAAGACTAATCTGTTTGAAATCTTACATCTGCATAATGGCCAGGCTAATGTGAAAAAGTGTCAGCATATTTCCATACATTCTAGAGGTACTTAAGATGGGCAGAACACATCTGCTTCTTCGGATGGGTTACAGTAATTCCATCAGAATCCTCAAACTCCTTGTTTAGCACTTTAAAAACAGCATACAGAATACCCCAAGAGCTTATCATTACAAAAGCTGTTAGAATGCTAACAAGTAAGAAGCAGGTGGTTAAGTACTGAATTTAGGGATTTGTGTCAAAGTACTTAAGCACAAGTGACTGAAGAGAAAAAGCGACACACAAAAAATTCCAGAGGAAAGCAGACTTACAATTGAATTAACTCAACATCAAAACCTGCAATTCCAGTCATTTCAACACTTCTAAGGGATATTGATGTTAAGCGCTGGCACTCACAAGAAATAACACTCCAGTAATTTGAGACCACAACCAAAGCTTCATATAAACTCAGTAATCTAAATTTCCATTCAAATGAGCAAATTCTTATGTCCCAACATCTCTACTGAACATTCTACTTTGCATAACAGATGTACTCATAAAACTCCGGATGCCAAATGAATTTCTGCAAAATACCTTGTATATGAAGTAGAGAATTCAAAAGTACCCATTGGTGGGTAGGTAACCTAATTTAATACTTTTGCAAGTTTTGCACTAGATTAAAAATGAAATAATTTAGGTTCCTTCACTTACTGGCTTTGTGATTCTGGGAAAAATCACTTAGCCATAGCTTCTTCAGCTCCATATCCTGAACCTATTTAGCCATACATCCCACATCCTCTCCCCTGAGCAGTATCACATATGCCCCCACATTTAATTATTTGCCAGTCTCTAGTTCCATTTCCTAGGCCAGTTACGTGGCACAGTACATAGAGTGCCAGGTATGGAATTAGGAAGACCTGAGTTTAAATATGACCCCAGATACTCACTAGGTGTGTGACCCTGGGTAACTCACTCAACCTTATTTGCCTCAGCTTCCTCATCTGTAAAATGAGCTGGAGAAGGAAATGGCAAACCACTCCAGTTATCTTTGCCAAGAAAATCCCAAATGGGGTCATCGAAGAGTTGGACAGAACAAGAATTCCATCTCCATATTTTACTGGATTTTTAATTAAAACTTGATACATGTAAGAAGTACTCTAAGTATCAAGTACTACAAAATTACCATTGTAGCATTTAGAGCAGGAAAGATCATGTAGTCAAGTTCCCTTCTATAACTGAGGACCTGAAAAACTGGGAATTTCTGTCAGGATTTGAACCTAGTTCCTGACTACAGATCCAGTCATTTTTCCAAGGAAGGAAAATATATTTCCTACTGGAGAGTAAAGAGGACATCAGGAAAGGTCCACAATGGGAGTATTCATCGTTTAAAAAAATTATTTTTGTTATAAAGGCATGCCTGAGTCCTCTTCTAAACTTCCTTCTGTAAAAATTCGTTTCATTGACCTCCCCCCCCATAACTACCCCTACCTACTAACTCCTTGTTCCCTTGGAAGTCCTCCCTTAATTCTCCCCTTTCCCTCACTCCCAAACCAATCAGATGTACTCTGGGTATTCATATGAGGGACACTGGCATAGGGACAAAACAAGAAGGTTCATGTTGGGCTAAGTTTGCAAGGGTTTTCTTTGGACTTAAGCCTCAAAGAGGCTGTGCTAAGAAAGGACAATAAGAGACAGAAGGGAAGAAGGACAGGAGTGAAAAGAAAGACAGAGAAATCTAACGGCTGGAAGCTAATATTTGGGCCTACTACTGGCTCTAAACCCTGGCTATCCCACATTTGATATCTTCCCTTCTCTGTGCCTCAGTTTCACCTCCTTTCTTGGCAGGATCAAGTGAGAGCTGGTACATGTAAGCAATCTTATAAACACGGTGTAATGAAAAGTGCTGGATTCAGAAACAAAGGGCCTACGTTTAAATTTTAGTCGCTACTTAAAACAGTGAGACCTTATATGAGTAAAATGAGGTTAGTGCCTTCCAGCTCTAACACAGTAATTCCTCCTCCACACTTACTCACACCCTCTTTTTCACTTATGCCTAGTTAGTATTGCTTAAAGTCACTGTTTAGTCTGACAATGGCTCTGAGCTTCTTTAGTCCCTATTCTGCCACTAACTAGGCAGGTAAGTGGGTTGAACCAGATCTCTTCTGAGTCTCCTTTAAAACTTCTTAGTTCTATGACTCTAAACAAGGGGTTAGCAGTTTTTGTATTATGGATGCCTATGGACCCCATTCTCAGAATACTGATAAATGCACACATACAGAACATACTGGATTACAAAAGAAAGCAATTACATTGGCATAACCCCCCCCCCAACTTTGTGATCTTAGATTAACCCTTGATCTAGGCTGACTATATACTAGTGCTAGACAATTAAAAGTTTATTTAAAAAACAAAATTCACGCATGCTACCATAAGAGTCTTTTCTCAGAGAATGTTAACAGGCCTAAGCTCTAGACATCATTATGTATGTCATAAACAGCTTGCTGCAGCTAATTTAACTCCTAAATAAATTTTTCTCTAAAATATGCACATTTAGCCAACATTTTGGGGTGGGGCAAGTCTCAAATATCGAAGAAGCAGGAAAGATAACTTACATTTGGCATCTTTTCGCCTAGCCGTCAGCAGGAAGTCTTTTATTTCCTCGATTTTTCGGGGCTGCAACACAATCAAAACACTAGTTGGGTATCACTGCTGCTGAAGACTATCCCACCCTCCATAAGAAATGACAAAACCAATCAATCAATACAAATTTCTTCAAGTACCAAGCACTGGCCATAAACTACAAAGCATTACACAATCGTAAAAGGATTCTTAACCTCTTGTGTCAAGGACTCCTCATGAATGAGGTTTTCAAATACACAAAATAATGCAAAATTATAAAAGAAGCCAATTATATCAAAATAGCTATCAAGATGTTTTTAAAACAGAAGCTCACAAATTCCAGGTTAGGAAACCCTGATCTATTTCAATGCCTTCATTTTAGTGATGAATTAAAAAAGGGGGGGGCGCCAAAAGAGGTGGCTTGCCTAAAGTCACAGTAAACTACGATTTGAACTCGGATCTTATGGTTAAGGCTCCCTTTCCCAAAAGGAAAAGCACAAACAAAAGAAAACAGTTTGGCATAGAAGGGATACCATGCCTGGGCAAGGGAATAAAGACTTGGGTTCAAATTCCACCCCAGGAGGTGACTAGCTGTGTGACCCACACTGCAGGTCAGGGAGGCAGCTGGATGGTGGATAAAGGGCCGGACTTGCGAGTCAGAAAGTGGGAGTTTAAATCTAGCCTCATGCAATTAACGGTGGTGTGACTGTGCGCAAGTACCTTAGCCACCTGCCTCAGTTTCCTCATCTGTAGAATGGGGACAATACCCCCTCTCTCCCAAGGGTATTGCGAAGGTGAACATACACCTTTGTACGGCGCTTTGCAAGCGTTAAAGCACTTTGTACGTGGTAACTATTATTATCTAGTTAAAAGGAGGAGGCTGGGCTTAGGCCTTCCAGCCTCTTCCCCATTTTTAAAGGAAAGCAGACCTGTGGGCACACGGGCCGCGGGCCCCGACGACTCACCATGGCGGCGGCGGCAGGACGAGGGAGCAGCGTGTGGTCCGAGAGGTCGCGCCTGCAAAAAAGGAGGGGAACATGGCGTCGGCGGGACGGGACCCCCAGCGATCCCAGCCCGATTCCACGTCCCGCTACGGGAACAAGGTCCCTGGTTATAACCCAGTTACGCCCACCCATCCCCTGGAGAAGCCCCGAGCAGCCCCGGCCCCCCACAACCGGAGGATGGCATCGGATTCTCCGCACCGGCTTACCACGGGAGAGATACTCACAACTGCCAAGGCCGGAGGAAGACAGAAAAGGATGAACTTCCACTTCCGGCCAATTAAGACCGCCCACAGTAACCGGGGCACTACGGTATCCGCGAGGGATCAAATATCATAGTCTTGCGTTTCCCTTCTTCCTCCCTTCAGTCTTTCTTGACCCGGTGTGTGTCCCAGAATTCTAAAGGAAATTCAGTTTCCCAGCGTTATCTCTTTGAAACGGCCGTACATTTACAAACAAACAAACCCACCCTGGGTTTAATGTAGGGCAGCTTTCCCCCTTCCAATCTATTCTATTTTCTACTGCCTGATTGTTGAGTTGTGGAAAGACCCTTGAATATGAAATGGAGACACCTGGGTCCTTGTTGTAGCTCAACCACCAACTTGTGTGATTTTGGGGCCAGAGATTTAAAAATCTTTGGGTCTCATTTTTTCCACCAATAAAGTAAAGGAGTGAGTGAACTCTATGGCTTTGTGATTTCAGTACTTAGTGCAATTCCTAGCGCAAAGTAGGCACTTCGTAAATGCTTGCTGATTCTTTGGGGGAGAAAAAAATTATACATAATATATATGTATGTGTATATATATATGTATGTATGTGTGTGTATACATATATATGTGTGTGTGTGTATATATACATATACATATATACATATTCCGTCATACACACACACACACACACACACACACACACACATATTCCCTTCTAAAGTTTGTGATAGTGAAGAGGAAATCTAAGCACAGTCTCACATACACCCTAGTTTTTCAGAAAGGAGATTTCAAAATGTTCAGAAGAAAAATGGGTCTAGGTAGATAGAACTATCCAGAAAGATAGATCCATGGACTAGGATCATTTCCCACTCAGCTGGATTTTTTAAAACTTCTCCATCACGTCCCACAGGAACCTTTTCATCCTGCAAGATCATCTCAACCTTAGAACTCACACCTCATCATCTCTCTCTGCCTGTGAATTGCCTCTGCATGGAGGCTGAGAGGAGAGCTCCTCCCAGATCCTTCATTTAAGGTGTCTGCCCAGTCTATCCATCTCTTGATTTCCCACCCAGCTGAACTCCTTCGTATATCACCTTGAGAGCAGGGGCAGACATTGGTAGCCTGTTAAGGTTGGCTGTTGGGATGAAATAAGATACTCACAGATCACTAATTAAAAAAAGGAGTTTACTTAACTATCATAACATAGAAACCATATCAGCAAGGATACAACATTACTCAGCCTTCTTTGCCTCCTTATGGAAATGCATCTGGTCTGATTGGTAGGGTACAGTGACTTACATAGTTTTGAAGTTCTCACTAAACCTGAGAGGTCTAAACTCATTGTGAATGGTACTTCTTATGACCAGGAAGTTGTATTAAGAAAGGCAGGGGACAACCAGTTAATAATCACTGACATTTCTTTTAAAGTTTGCAAAACATTTAGCATATAATGTCTCGATTAATCTTCACATGATCAGTACAAGCCTTGACTCTTGTTTTGGGGGAAATGGCTGAACCTTAGAGGTAACACACAACATTTTCGCCATCCTTCTAATCACCCAGATTTGTGGCTTTAATGTCATACTTAATACTCTTCCTCATCTCACATATCCAATCAATTGCTAAATCTTGTCATTTCTTCCTCTATAACCTCTCTAATACACCCCTTTCTCTTTACTTATCACCTTTTATCTGAACTACTGCAATATCTTCCTATTGAATGCTTTTTGCCTCAAATCTCTCTCAATTCCAGTCCATTCTTCCTTTAGCTGACAAGTAATTTCATAAAGGACAGGTGTGGTCATGTTTCCCTGCTACCCAATAAATTCTAATGGCTCCCTATTACCTGTACGATCAGACGTAAACTCCATTTGGAGCATTTAACTTTCTTCACAATTTATCCCCTTTCTTTACTATTTTTCTTATATATTATTGCTCTCCATTCTCTCTGTGTTTCAGCCATACTGGTCTGCTTGGTGTTCCTCACAGATGACTCTTCATCTCTCATCTCTGGGCCTTTGTACTCTGGGCCATTCCTGAAATGCTCTTCCACTTCTCCTCTGTCTTCCTGAATCTCTGATTTCCTCTAATACTCAGCTTAAGTATCAACTTTAGAAAGATGCCAATCTGGGTTCTCACAGCTCCTGGTGCCTTCCATTATCAAGGTTACCTTATATCTGCTTGTATGTGTTTTGTCCATGTTGTCTTTCTTCATTAGAATGTAAGTATCCAGTCTGACTGAAGATCAAAGCATACTTTTTTATAACTTTATTTTTGTTTATTTTTTGGTTTGTGTTTTCTTTCACAACATGACTAATATAGAAATGCATTTTGCATGATGATACACATATAACTTACAAAAATTGCTTGTGTTCTTAACAAGGAGGTGGAAGAGTATGAAACTCAAAATTTTAAAAAATGAATGTTAAATTTTTTGCATGTAATTACATTTTTACATGTAATATATATATGTGTGTATATATACATATATATACACATATATATATGTATATATATTTGAATGTAAGCTCCTTGAGGGCAAGAGCTGTTTCATTTTTGTCTTTATACACCCAGAAGTTAGTATAGCACTTTACATGCAAGGAGCATATGAGGTTGTAAGGAGGGTGAATTTTAGTGTGTGTAAAGTGGATTTTTTATTATTCTTTCTTAGAGTTTTCTTCCTAGAATCCATAGCCGTAACAATCTCTACTTCCCAGGAGTTAGATATGAGTTCTCACAATCTTGGTTCAAAACAGTTTCTACCACACTTGTGCAGTAGATACAGGGGTGAAGTGATATAAAATTGTGAGGCTATCACTGGCAATGTGCCTTCTTTGTCTGTTGCCCTATAAAGCAAGTGGGCACTGGTAAGTGACCCCCATAGGGGTGAATGTGTAGGCTGAATGCTGGGCATGCCTTGATCGACCCCCATCAAGTCTTGGGAGGGGTAATCTCTGTGTTTGCCTCAACCAGCCCCCATTGAGGTTTGAGGGGATTTAGGGGAGAGCATAAGTTGTGCTGGTCTCGACTGACCCCATTGAGATGAAGGGATTGTGGCCCCTGCTTCATGCTGGCCTCTGCAAGAAGGGCTGTTGGGGAATGCTGTAGGAGTCGGGGCTCCCATTATCAGCAAACTGCCTTTGAGAAATCTAGACTAGAATAAAGCAAGCTTATTTAACCCTTTATTATGACTCCATTCCCGTCTTCCTGTCTGACTGGATCAAAAGCCAACCTGCTGGTAAGAGAGATGCTAGACGCCCTCTTGTGTCTCCTTCCTAACAAATGTAGGTGTATTTACTTGTCCAACTGGGGTGTTCAAGGAAGACTAGCACTCCTGGTGTGAGGGCTTGCTGAGCCCTTTTCAGGGCTGCTCATTCACCTTTGGTGTCAATCCTCACCTGTGGCTCCAGGGCAATTGTAGCATGGCAGGTGCCACACCCCTGTAAACTGTCTCAGTAGATGGGCTAAACCAGGTTGAAGGCCTCAAACCTGTCAGTGTACTAAGGTGGTATCTACCTCAAGCTTAGGATGACTTTCCCTGGCAGAATGGGCAGGTGAGAACACTTTGTTTCAATGGCTCAAGTAGGTGCCATGGAATGCTTAGAGCTCGGTCAAACATCGAAGACATCCAAGGTCATCCACTGAATCTAAGCCATTATCAGTGGTCTTGACTGGACTTTGATGACTCAGGAAGAGAGTGAGGCTGATAACTTTGTGCAACTCTGCCTCACTTAAATCTAATTCACAAAGGACATCTCCCCATGAAGTCATTAGTCCTCATTGGACAACAACTTGACACATAGTAGGCACTTAATGTTTGTTGATTGAAATCCTGAAGGAGACTCTGGGGAATTGTCAAGGTCTTTAGAGACTGACTGACTTGGCACTTCATTGTGTTGGATTAAAGAGATGTTATCAGGGGGCAAGATATCTGTCTTTGAGTATTTGAAAGCTGTCATGTGGAAGAGAGATTAGACTTGTTTTACTTGGCCCCAGTGGACCTGACAAAGAGTAGTGAGTTAAGGTTCAAGGCAGATTTTCAGCCCTTTGAATGGAAATATCCTTCTAACAATTAGAGATATCAAAAAGTGAATGAACTACTTCAGATGGTAATGTGTTCCTCATTCCTGGAGATTTCCAAGGAGAAGGCAGATGACCATTTTGGGTGGATGTTATATAGGCTAAGTGTAGGTGAAAATCCTTACTAACCCTGGGTCTGAAATTCTGTGACTTTCTTTTTTCTTGATGTGTGTATGCTGATAACACTAATCTTGTTGTCAGGGAGATGATACTATAACACGCAAGTGAATTGGATTTAAGTGAGGGAGGGCTGTGCAAAGTCACCAACCTCACTTTTTCCTCTGGAGCTGATGTGGTTTACAGGTTCAAGGGTGCTGGGTCCCCAAAATCACACAAGCGGGTCCTGTCCAAAAGAATTCAACCCAAGTATTCTTTCAGCGGAGGACAAGGTTTATTAGAAAGCTGTCATATTGGGCAGACTATTAAGGAGTCTGAACATTAGTAAGCTATTGGCTAGATTATAAGAATCTGAGCAGTGGCCAGATTTTAGGAATGTGGGCATCTTAATGGAGATAAGATGGACCTTATATACAGAAAGCCTGTGGGAGGGACCTAGGAGTGGCCAGTAAGCTGGGGTGAACAGAACTCCTGGGACCTGGACCTCATGGCCAAGGGAGAATGGAGCCTAGCTAGGATTAAGGGTGGGAAATGGCCAGGGGCCACAGGGAGGTAAAACTATGTGTAGCCACAATGAAAGGCCAGCTGATGGGATTATAGCTAACGCCAGAGATTTGGCTGTGTGGGAAAGTCCAGGGTTTTTCCTTTCTGGGGCCCAGATCCCAACCCAATCAGAGCCATCTGGGTCCAGTGGCAAGATATAGATCAGGACGACAGGAAATGGCCCTTCAATGGGAGACCTTGGCCTTTTTAAGCTGAGGGTTTTTTTTTTTAACAGGTCTCAGTTTGACTGAGGCAACACTGGTTCAGTGATTGAGGCTAGGTAAGAAATGAAGCAGAGAATGGTCACTTTCACCTAGTCAAAAAAA